CCCATTCAAGAGGCGAAAAATATAAATCCGCTCCGGCGGCGGTGGCGGCGCGGTTCGTTTTGCTCGCGCCTCGCGCGGTTGTTATATTGCGCAACGAATCACCGGATCGCGAGTAAGATATTCCAGACAAACGATAATACCGGCCCGATATCGCGGAATGGTAATTTGCTCGATTCCAGATGCGGACAACCGTTAGCCGACATATTCCTGAAACACGCGTCCGTTTTCTAGGCATTCTAGGCGCGATGAAAGACCGCGATAACGCGCGCGGCGCGCGAGAGAAAAACAGATGTGTGGCCCGCGAACTGTGTAGATTCCTCGGGCAGACAATCTCAGGCTGCGAATTCAATTTTCCTATGACTTCTTAATATTCCGACTGTCACGCGGAACAAATGTATTCTCGGTTTTACGGCCGCGTTCACCCGTCGAGCGTTATTAATTTTCGTCTCGATCTAACCGTTTCGTCGGCTCGCACGATCGTTTGGAAATCAGTTTCACTAGATCCGAGATAAGAGACTCCGGGAGAATCGTGACGTCTCGGATGCTAATTTTCTGACCTTTTACACGTGGTTCACTCACGCCGCGAAAAACTCGCCACGGATCCATTTCCCCGGCGTTTGACAAACGAGCCGATTGAAAAAAAAAGAGAAAAACAAAAGAGAAAACACGCGAGTCACGACGCGTCGATTCCTACCCTCCACCTTCTATCGGGCCGATGTAGATTTACGAGCTGAATTCCGCGCGCGATTTCATTCTTCCTGGCCGCCCCTCGTAGGCCTCCCTGAGTCAGCGTCGGGAACGAGCGACGGTAACAACGTGTACTCTGCGTTTGACATTTCCATTCTGCGCCTTACGAACTGTACAGTATTCGTTCGAAGCATCCAGTTTATACCGGGCCCGGCATCCGGCGTCGTAGCCCCGGCTTAACGGCTGCAACAGGTCGTTAAATCGTGCGCTGTAAAACACCGATATTAGATGAAAATCGAGTATCGCGCTCGAATCGATTGTTCGATGCTCGGCGTCGATTTATGTGAGATCCCATATCCCCCTTTCTCCACGGCGAGTCTGCGTTTCCCATGTACACGGGGTATAAATATCATGGATGCGATGATCAATATTGTGTGGGGTTCTTGGTATTCAAAGGCACGTGATTTTGTGGTATCGAATCAACAAATATGATTAGAAAAAAAATAACATTTTTTATATAATATTGTTGATACTACGAATAGACGGCGGTACTTGGATCCAGATAAGCCCCTACTCTTCTATCTTTAAATGCTGATATAAACAACTGTAAGTTCCAATTAGATTTTGTATACTGGAATAGTGCGTGAAGTTTATGAAATCCTGGGTCCAAACAGATCCAAACACCGCTGTGTAAGGGTTAATGACACTCTTATACACCGCCTTTTATCCTTTACGATAAGCCACTTGCATGTAGAGCTTATAACAATGGAAGAGATTCGAAATTTAACGTGCTTCTTCAAGTGTCTATTTATACGGTTGTTATGTATCGTAGACCCACAGCATTAACGTTACAACGTTCATTGCAACACCGTACGCGTTGTGCAAGACAGATACACCGTCTCAAATCAGCAGGATATACCGGGAGGGCTCGTCTAATCTCGCAGGCTCCTCGTATATATCTCCGCGGCACGTGCAATTAGCGTACATTCGTACATACACGTGTATTATCAACGACCATCGTCCCTGTCATTTCGTTTCTAAGCGTTTGATTTATTACCGCGCGGTGGCAGGATAATTATTGACTTACCCTGCCGGGCGGCGGCGCGCGTACTTTTCGTTGCCGTATCGTTGATAACAACGCTACGACCGAACTCGGCCGGTTTTGCATATAATACCGAGAAATTCATTTGTCTTATAATATGATTCATAGTTCCTCCGTGTAATGCCATTGAATCGGCGGTGTACATGATAATTAGACGTCAATGGGCCGCGCGCGCGTTCACCACGATTAACAATTCAAATCAGCAGACGTTCTTACGGCTTACTTTGCATCAATTAGGCATAAAATATTGTTCTAATGGGCGGACCACCGGGCATACTCTGCAACGTTTCAATGAATACGATTCCATCGCTAAATGGTACCCTGCCCGGAGCTCTCCCGTTTGTTCCCTTCCTTAATTACCGACTTCAGGAGTTTCATGGAAAATTAACCCATAAATGTCTGGGTACCCTGTAACGTTTACTTTACAGAAAACGAGTTGTATTACTGAGAACGTTAATGATATAGCGGGTGTTAATAAAAATTGTGGGATACTTTTACAGAATGGATTCTAGATGACAAATTGGGACGAAAATCAAGAATGACCAAATTGCTTTATAGGTTTCATTCTTGAGTTATGAATTGTTGAAAATACGGCTGATGATACTTGTGAAATATCTCTGGCGCGGTTGGTTATACCATTTGAACAGTCGATTTCCAGCTGATATACAGAATCCATCGATGACCTAGTTAAATTTAACGAATGAAACAAAATGAAATGAACGGAACCAACTCGTGAAACAGTTCAAGAACGCACTTCTCAAGTAAAATAATTCGTCTTCACTTCCGTTATCCTTGATTTTCGTCTCAGTTGGACATTTAGATTCCACCCCGTGAGAGTGTCCCACAGCTTTCTTACCACCCTGTACATGCATGCCGTAACGATAAAAGGGGTGTACGTAGCGATTCGTTTGCCGACCGGTTCATCGAAATTCTGGTGGGTCGTTTAGCCGTCAAGTAGTCGCGGGGACGTCGCCGGTGTGAAAATCAAATCCTTTTCGCAGTGACAGCCGGGCGGAGCCCAGAATGGGCCATTAAAACGTATTATGGAAGGCGACGAGCTTAGCAGTCGCAATCCGCGATATTACGTACACTCATGCGTGCGTTTTCGAGACGCGCGAAACAAGGCGTCTAACGAGGCGTAAGGAGACGTCGGGCCCCGGGGTAGAAGAGCATACAATGCTATTCACTTTACCGGGTCTGTCTGCTCGCGATGTTCATCTGGGTAGTATACACGTATCGACCAACAAACAAGCATTTCTGGATCATAGCAAAATAAAATCCAGAACTATATGCTTACAATTATCCTTCTCATTTCACGAGAAATCAACGTTAACTCTAACCAGTTTCCTTTCATCCCCATATAGAATGTGATTCCCAGAATTGGCAAAACTCACGTTTTGTTACGTCAAAGCTAAAATTCCTCTAACCAGATAGTATACACATATCGACCAACAAACAAGCATTTCTGAATCATATTAAAATAAAATCCAGAACTACACGCTTACAATTATCCTCCTCATTCCACGAGAAATCTGCGTTAACTCTGACCAGTTTCCCTTCATCCCCATATAGAATATGATTCCTACAATTCCTGAAACTTACGTTTTGCTTTGTAGTAGCGAAAATTCCTCGGGGTCTCGCGTTAAAGGTAAGACACTCGTACTGACAGAAATTATTTAACTACGGCGCGCAATAAACCGCGACCGTTGAGATTCTTGCGGAAAGAGCACCACTCCAGTTGAACTTTCCTGGAAGAAGCGAAATCCCGCGGTCGCCTACGATCGCTGCGGCAGCGGCTGTACGTGCATATCGAAACCACGGGCATTGTTCGCGACTCACGTCGCCTTGGGAACAGGTTGAATCGGCTGCGATTTCAAGCTCGCGCGAGGGCCACGTACGCCACGGTGGCACGCGTGACACGCATCTCATTGCGAATAGGTCACGGAGTTCGTAAGAACCCGGGGGCCGGCTTTGCGCTTATGTACGTTTATGGTGCGTGTGCACGGTGGAACGCAGCAGCAACAGCAACAGCCGACGATGCTTTCTCGTCCATGGGATTCTTCTCTTCTCGAATGCTAGCCGGGTCGCGTTACGGCGTTTCACGTCGCTATCGGTGCCGTTTGCCGCGGCCGGTTGTTAGGCGATGATGCACGGCACCTCTGATGTACGATCGGACTCGAGGTGAGCCGGTACATCATCCGGCGAACCTAACAAGAACGATAGAGAGCTTTTCCGCACGTCGGTTGATTTATACGAGTCGCCGCAACCACGGGTGTCCGTTCCCCGTGTAATTTACCAACGAATTGATTATTCTTCGCGCCGGGTATCGACATATCCGCACCATCGGTGGATCACTTCGACCCCTGTTCGATCGTGATTTCGTTTATTACCGAGGTTGAACGGGCGGCGAAGACCCCCCTTCCTCATCTTCCATTATTTTAATGCTACGCGTTTCGATGGTTCAATGTGTACATCGGATGAGATACTTCGATTAATTATGAAAGATTACAGTGCGGTTCTATGGCTGTGAAGTGAAAGATAACGGAAGATAGATGAAACTATGGAAAACTTGACGCTGCTGTTGTTTTTCTTGTCATTTTTTATCAATTCTTTGGAATGCTTGTGGTAGATTGAAATTGTAGGAGATACAACGGGTCTTAAATGGATCACATAACAGTCATGAACGCGTATTTTGAAATTTGACGATGTGAAGTGTAGTAACTAATTTAATGTTTTCCGAATATTGAATTGAAATATCGAAGAATTTGATTGGGTGATGTTATGGAAACCCACAAGTGTAAGAGCAATACGCTATTGAAATTTCAGTACTAAACTATCTTTCCCAACGGGTACAATAAGTATATATATTCTGGTAAAGTGAAGTTAGATCGAAACATGTAAAAATATTTCGATTTTTCATCTCCACTGAGTCATCTGAGTTTCTGCATCATCAATCATTCATATCTTCAGATTTTGTGTAGTATCTATTATTTTTTTATCGATTTATAAAGAAGTTTCATAACCTATAATTTACATTATATTTTGTTCATCAATTTTCCCAGTTGAGAATTCGAGATTATACATTGCAATGGACAAAACTATTGCGTGTCAGTTAGTTACAGCATTTGTCAGCAGGTGGCAGCACCACCTTGACACAGGCTCGTTCGTTATATAGCGCGACGAAATGGTGGGAGAAGCAGTATGGCGCAGAATCGCATGCACAGTCGATTGTACGACGTTGAGATGGTTTAGTGCCGCCTGTAACTTCGCGTTAGAAAGACGAGCATTCAGCGGTTAACCTCGACGAATTGGACGACAACGATTTTGTTTGTATAGAATGAGGTACGTTCTGATTTCGTTGGGACTCCAACAAAGCTATTTGTGAGCACGCTTTTATTGATCCATGAACGTGCCTGTGTAACCGGTTTCGTGTCACACGTGGAAGAGATTATTTGTTTTTGTTGATGTTTTTGTGATTATGTATGAACTTCATATAAGTGAATATACGAAACGATATAAGCAATGCTATTGGTATATGGAAACTATATACAAGGCTCGACATTCCTGAAATTAGAAAACTTCTACCATATAATTGCTGTGGCGTAGCGTCCAGTGTGTTTCGATACGAGTCTAGAGGTTGCGGGTTCAAGAACATAGCAAAACTGTGATGTTTTTTTCTTCGTTTTTTTATTTTTTTTCGGTACTTTTTTAATGTAGGGATGTATATTTGGCATTAGTTAAGCGATTAAATAAATTTCAATTTTAATTCAAAGCGTATACGAAATATAGCAAACAGACCCTATCCTGATTTATCCTATTTATTTATTGACCTGTGTTATGAGTAGATGCATGATGTGTATGTATACTAAAAAGCCTTAATTTTGTTTTGGATTGAGCTCAAAAAGAAGCTTGATTTCATCGTAATTAAAAAATATTAGGCATTTAATATGCTCAATGTATTTCCATTCATAGAGCATATACCCAGGAACACAGTCGAGGGATGAAAATATAGGAACCACGTTGAATCAGTTTCAACCCAATCGTTTATCAATCAGAAGCCACAAGATGCCGTTCACGGCAGATGCCGCGGCGAGTCAAATACAGGAGCGGTTGAAGAATCTCTACCATCTGGTGCACGAGATCGAAACGGCGCGGGTTCGATCCGAGCACAATCTAAACAATATCCTAAAGACTTATGAGAAAGTGACTCCAGAGGACAAGGTCTCCCCTTACTACCAGCAGAAGCTGAAGAATCTATACAGCGCGGCGGTGGGCGATGCTCAGCAATTCTCCGGAAAGCTTTGGGGAAGATCAACGAAATTCGCGCTATTAGGAACGAACGACGTATACAGGCCCGTAATGCGGGTAACAAAGAAACGATCAGGCGGGGTGCTCTAATGAAGATGCTGTTGAGTACCGCGCAGACCCTCCCTCTGTATGTAGGCAAGACACCAGGAGCAAAACCACCACCTCTTTGCGGGGCGATCCCCGCGGAGCCAACGTATATCGCGAAGATGGGCGACATGGTGGCGGCTCTGGTGAAAGGCTCCGAGGAAGAGGAGAACTGGATCCTAGCGGAAGTGGTCCAGTTCAATCCGACCACGAATAAGTATGAGGTGGATGACATTGACGAGGAGCAAAAGGACAGGCACACTCTATCCAGAAGAAGAGTGGTGCCGCTGCCACTGATGAGGGCAAACCCAGAGACTGATCCCCACGCCCTGTTTCCAAAAGGATCCATTGTGATGGCGTTATATCCTCAGACAACCTGTTTCTACAAGGCTGTGGTGAACCAACTGCCCACCACCGCCACGGAGGAATACGAGGTTCTCTTCGAGGACGCGACTTATGCGGACGGTTACTCCCCTCCGTTGAACGTTGCACAACGTTACGTGATCTCCATCAAGGAAAGCAAAAAGAACAAAAGTCAGTGTTGAGCGACTACGTGCAGTATTATTACCCCGATTCTCGCGCTTGTTACCCAGTACAAGTACCTTTCGTTTTTTATACCGGACACGTTGATTGAAAATAAAGTTCATGATTCCCAAGTATAGGTTTATCATTGAACCGTAACAGAAAACGGGCGTATCTACCTCACCCTCGATCCACGTTTGGGAACGAGGCGCGGATTTCGTTCCAATGTAATTATTCCATTGTCACGTATCGGTATTTTTTTTTTTTTATCATCGAACCCACATGGTTTGTCGTTAAGTCGAATCTTGTACGGCGTTCCGGGAAAATAAGCACGTACTGACAGTTAGGGTCCTATTTCCGCGATATTCCTCTACCCCGGGGGTAATTGGCGTAGATTATACGACGATAATAGCGGCAGCCTTATACACGCGGGTGGACCTTAACCTGGACTCGCCTGACCTTTCGTGGAATCGGTTCTCCGTGACTGTCCGACCGAGCAATTTCTTCCTGTACGGAATAAATCTTCCCTTCGAGCTAGCACGACGAAGACAGGGGGCTGGGGGGCTAGGGAGGGGGGTGGTTATGGGAAGGGGGGCTGGTCTCGACGCGAGCAAGGTTGAAAGGCGAAAAAGAGACGCAGGAGAGTGCCGTTCAATAATTGATTCCATAATCGGTGGCTGCCGCCAGACATCAAAGGGAGTCGTGCCCGCTTCCAATCTCCAGCAGACAGGCCTGGCCAATCTTCATTCATTATTTAACCTAACTAGCCCCGCATGAAGTATCATAAAAAAGTGACTCCACTTTCGTCGCGTCGACACGTACTTCGACGAAGAATCCGTCTCGAAATTGTTCCAATTATTTCATTGGTTCCGATGAAATGTTGCGTTCAGATCTGTACGACGTGTCAGGTGAGCAAGGGTGGATGTGATTGTTAACTATATTTTATTATACATAACTTTGTGAATAAAAATTTAAACAGTTCCAACACGAAAATGTTTCAAGTACAAAACAGTCAGAAAGATATTCGCCATGCTACTTAAAATTAAATTACGATTATCTGTTTCTGAAACGACGAGAAGAAACGTTCTACGCGATTCACAGTTCGAGCAGTGGCGTCGAGAGGCCAATAGAATTTGAGCCACTATTAAAATTGTTACCAAAACGCGACAGCTCCGCGCTTTCATCGACAAAGCCAGTGCTGCCAGAGCAAGTTGCTCGTTTTCCACGGGCTCAAAGGCAAAAGCTATTAATATCGAGATTTTTCTTGGTCGAGGCCTCCAGAACTCATTACACGTCCTGCAAGAGTTCCGACAGTTTTCGAGGCGAAGTTGGATTATACGTTGGCAGCTCGTTAGCCGGTCTTATCGACCCTTTTCCTTCTGCCTGTACCATTGTGCGGGGCGTATTAATTAAAAAATGAAAACCTACGAGGCTGTCTGACGCAAGGGTCGCCACGTAATCTCTTTTCCGCGCGTTTCCTTTTCTCGCCCCTATACGCGGACCCATCGGTTTTCAATTTCCTCCTCGATATACCGAGCTATCAGCGATCTAGATTGGTCTTATAAATGATATCATGTATTTTTCATAAGTTACCATTCCTCTTCTGCTGGCTTGAACGTGGAAATTAACATTAAGTTTATACTACGCTCAATTGTATAACATTTGCAATGTATATAAATCGAAAGTCTATTAATAATTGTACAAGTACTAATAAAATGTTCAAATTAGTGACTCCTACCATAAGAAACCAATAACACTATCTTATTAATGTTAAAATATGTCGACAGAGAACTGGTCAGTCTTTCCTACCCCTCCATCTATTAAAAAACGAATCGAACGCGAAAAGGGCCAGGCTGCGATACCAAAGTGACACCTAGTTGATGCATTTGCACGCCCGCCAATTTATCGAGAAGAAGACTAATGGTCAGCGGTAGGTTACGTCGCGATGGCAGAAAATAAGACGGCTTGCGCGTAGTGACAGACGTTCGCGTCTACGGATCGATCGGTCCGAACCGAAATAAAATATACTCGCGAGGGCAGGAGTGTAATTACCCAACGACGGAGAAAAATACCGCGCTCCATTACCGAAGGTTTACGAGTACCCGGGGTCCGATCGGTTCGCGGAGCGCGGGAGGGGGACACGGTCGGCAAGCCGGAGAGAGGATGAAGGAAAGAAGAGCGTAGCGAGGCAGTCGAGGAGAGGTATTACTCGGATAACTGAGAACGTGGAGCGAATGAACGAAGGGAACCAGGTGAAACGAGTGGCGACGGCGGAAGGGGGATGGGGGGGTAAAGAAGGGCCATCGCCTGTACGAATCAGGGGTGAAAAGAACGGCTCGCGTGCCCGGGCGCAAGTTCGCCTTGGCTTCCGGTAGCTTGCATGCTTTCGTTCCACTTGTATTAGGCTGGTAGTAACAAACTCAAGTTCGTGAAGGCTCGGGTTACGCTAACTCACACCACGATAAAAGCTGAAACGTTGTTTTCTACAGGCGAACGTGCGCGTACGCACGAAAATCGTTTTCGTTAATCGTCGGGTGAATTAATTCCGCGACTGGAAATGGCTTGTGTCGATACGGTGCCGCCAACTATCTGGCTTATCTAGCGAAGAAGAATTGAATTTTGGATGGAAAACTACAGAAGAAATGATTTCTCAGTGACATTAAATTATGGTGATTGTGATTAGTAATGTTTTCGCACCTATTAGTCAGAAACTTTATGGGGTGATTCTATATGTCAATATGAAACGAAAATCAAGAATGCTAAAATTGTGTCGAAGGCTTCGTTTTCAATTTATTAACAGTCAACCACTGGTGCCTGAAAGGCCTGAAACCAGGTAATCTGCGTAGGAGCAATCAGTGAAGGACATAACACGAAAAAAAAATTGCCGTTACGAAGAACAGATAGTAGGATATCCACTCGTCGTTTACATATTTTTATCGCTTCTCTGTCCTTTGTCGTGAAATGCGAGTAAGGTTTCTTCAGTTCGGTGACAGTCGTCAACGTGGACACATCTAGTCAGCGCGAAATATCCATCAAATTGTTTTATAGTGTTAATTTCATTATGACAGTGAATTTCGGTTTAGTTTAAATTAGTTCGTTTAGTGTTTATTCTGTGTGTGTGATGTGGTCTCCGTTATGGATTTGAATGAGTAACCAGTTTTAATGTCGGGCTACACTTTGCGTATACATTTTTATGAAGTGCCGCAAGAAGATAGTTAATTTTGGCCACGACGTAAGTGTATTTTCTTTGGACTACGTCAGTGTAGGTGCTCTACACATACCACTGGTTTCAGGTGTTTCTAACCCTAATTTTTTATTGTTAATAACTTGAAAACGTAGCTTCCAACACAATTTCGTGAGTCTTAATTTTTGTTTCATTTTGACATGTAGAATCATCCCTTAATATTTGTTGACAGAAGAGAACATACTGTATTGAAAATTCCATAACATTTAAATACGACTTGGTTAACATTATTAGCCTCTATTTATTGAACTCGTATTTTTCTTTTCATATCGACGAACAAAGTGAATTAGTTCCACTGAAGGCGCAATAAAGCGGGCTCGAAGCTACTAATTCAGTCGCTTTGCGCCCGAATAATGGAACACTGCGTTTCGCCAGCAGAATATAGGGTAATTGAATGCAACGTCATAACGATCTGTCAGCCATTCTGTGGTGCCAGCGTCAGAGGCGAGCTCATTCTTTTCTGGAATCGTCGTTTTCGACGGGAACAATTTATTATGTTTTTCGACGAAGTTGATCTTGCATTAGGAAGAGAAACGAGTCGCATTAGATCGAACGATTTCCACCCCCGCGCAATTTCAAAGGTGCATTTGTCTTCCATGGCACGCAAGATCCATGGTTTCGATGCTCGAATCGTCAACGGAGCTTCTTTTTGTTCGCTGTGGTGTTATGAACATGGGCCGCAGAATGAGAGGGGGAAGGTCAAATAATTGATAGGCGGGCGGTTTCTCGTTAATTAATTGCGTTTGCCAATGGAGGCGTGGCAGTTTCAAACTCCGTTCATAATTCAGGGCCATAATCGGTTATCGCGATCGTTATCTCGCGACACAGCAAGATCGTCCCGGAAATTAGCGTACGCTTTTACGACTTTCCGACGAAAGAATTTTAATTTCGCTGGAGCTGACAATACCGTCACGCGCCACGCTCTCGAGCCATTGTTGTTCAAATGCGATCCGATCCGATGGAGATTTAGAATCACTGACGTGAACGTATTTATGCAATGCGGAACGAGATGCAGAGAAAAAGAATAAACAAATAAACGGATAATAAAGAGGATATGAAAATAAAATTGTGGATCTTCTTGGGAACATTACATGCTAGTAAACAACTGATTCAATTAAATTTCAAGGTAATAAATATTATTTTTTTGACGGTTCAAAAACTAGTATCTACTGATGAAATATATAGGAAATGTTAAATTTGTTAATGATTTTGTTAATTTCTACTTCTAAAAGTGAATTGATTCGGAAAGGAAGAGTCCCACCATTAATCATCGTACAAAAAGTATTCCTCTTTTAGATTAACAAACTTTGTGCATTTCAATCTACGAGTTGCTAGTTCTCATACACCTACGTATATTCGCAGGGTGAGGTCGGCCATCGCGGAGACCGATGGCCTTTCGAGAAGTTACTTATTTCTGGACCATGTTCGGGGTCTCAGTGGGTCAGTGGATACGTCTGGCATCGCGATGATTAATTTTGAGTTCCCATCAGGGATATTAGTTTTTAATGCACGACCGTTGTCGTGGGAATTATAATAATTAGCTCGGAGCCCCGTGGACCAGCTGGCTATACGGCTGACTCAGCCTCCCAACTGTGTCCTCTGTCAAGTTATATACTGATTCCATTTGCTCTGCTATCAGAATCTGTCACGTGCTTGCACATTTACCGAAATGTATTTTGTCTTACGTATTAAAATGAAAATTCATAATAATCTCTTTAAAGCATATACTATCACTAAATCTAAAAATCTTTTAAAATATCTTTTCACTAAAATAAACGAAAGATCACGCAGAATTAGTAGAAGATTTTAGAACTGCAAAATATACAGGGTATATTAGAAATTGTGTTGCGATCTAAACGACAATGCTTCCATACGTAATATTAAGTCCAAAGTATGCAACGTCATTTTATTATATGAGGAATCATTTTTCGAGAAAGTGGATTTTGGATCATCATATATTATTTCCACTTATTCTAAATACCACCTACTTTTTACACGAGAATCATCTGATTTCGAGCGGCATGAAAACCTCCGTTATACTATCTATAGTTTTCAGAAATATTGAGGGAATTGACTTCCAATAAGATAAACGCAATCACAGATTATTCCAAAATTTCATTATACTGTCGAAAGTGCTTCATACGTCTGTTCGACCGCATATTCATCCTAATGCGCTCAGATGCAAGCTCGTGAAATCATAACACAATTTCTGTTTCACCAACAACAATATACGAAACGATACGCTATTTTCGCGCGAACCTATGCATACGAATGCACCGGCTCCAAATGACCGTATGCATTGCGATGCTTCCATGTCGGCTTCGTACGAACTTTGGTCACGTACGAGTCACTCTATCTCTCTCTCTCTCTCTCCGTGCACGCTTTACACCTCGAAGGAACACACCGTGGCGTCTGTAAGCGGAGCAGAGTTTCTCGGGGAGTAGGTTTCGCGCACGGTTCCTTTGTAACAGGGTAACTTGAACTTGGAAGTCACTCCATGAGCCGCGCGCGCGTTGTCCTATCAAATGAAACGAGCGATTGTAGCTCACCGCGCGCGAGCAAACGG